AATTAGTTCTATTTAGCTCTAACCAGGACAGGCTCCTAAATATGTTAGTTTAGATAAAGTGTTTCTTGTTTAAGCTGTACATATGCCTACATCTTTGTTAGTGCTATGCCAGGTTTGCATACAATACAATAAACCCTGTAAATTCCTAGGCTGCAAGCTATATAGCAAGAAATACTTCTCAAAATTCAGTTGTGTGAATTCCAGATGATAGCTAATTTTTTGAAAATATCAGCTCTTGATAGATGGTGGAACTGCTTGGGTTTCTTAGAAGCACACCTGAAGCAATAATCTCTCTGATATTGCTTGTTTAAGAGGTCTTGATACTTAAGTGTTTCAGCTGTCCAAGAGCCGTTGGTGAAATGAGTTTCCTGCATCTAAGAATTAATTTTAAGTCCATGTGAGAATGGAAGGTGACGTTGTCTATATAAGACGATCATTGTTTTGTTAAAAGGTACTGGATAGAGCAGAGCAGCTGAGGGAAATGGAAGCAAACATCCTGCCAGCATTTCTTAGGCTTCAAGAGTTGGTAAGTGTCTCAAAAAAATTAATGTATGTTTCTTGCATAGTAAAAGTAACTGAATGTGGTTTCTGCCCATCTAGGCTCACAGATCAAGAGAAGTGATTCTTTAGATGAGAAAAGTTGCAAAATTAATATCCCCCCCTGCCCCCCAAATAATTAATTGGCAGTGGTCAAAACTAGAAACCAAACCAGATTTAAACATTGGCAGTTTTTTCTTACACTCTTATTTAAAAAAAAAAATTAAAAAATTCTGTTTTTCAATATCTGATCTGTTGTAGATTCTTTTGAGGCTGAGTCTGCTCAGGCAGGCTATAATCTATAAGGAGAAGCTTCAACATAGCTCCTATATTGGCTTGGTACAAATAAATAAATAAAGCCCCCTTTAGAGTTTGTCAGATGTTTATGTGGGAGTCCAAAGCCATATTGAGTGAATTCAGCATCAAACATGTGGATTTGCAACTTGGGAAGTGTTAGTCTTCCTCAAGTTTCTCCTATGTGAAACTCCACAACATTGCGTGATGGCTGGCTTGAGGATGGTCAGCAGACCACCAGCTATTTAACAGTGGCTCAGCAGCTGCAAATGCGCTTTATGATGGCAGAGAGTTTTTACACTTCTGCTGGAATTGTGCCACATTATGCCTGTGGTTGGAGTAAACCACTGTATCTTTCCCTCTCTCACTACTGAAGTATCAAAGCTTATGCCTTGGAATAAGGAGGAGTGCTACGTTCTCTGAAAAGAAACTGAAGGCAAAACCAGAAGATGGTGGTACTTTGGAATGTCTGAACATCTAAATAGCTGAAATTATGCTTGTTATCTTAAGATTTTTGTGTGGCACTCCTCATCTTCTGGTGACATTGATTTCTCTATTTACTGAATGAAGACTGATTCACAGCTGTGTTCTTAATCCTGGCAGCTGGTGTATTTTTTGGCTTTTTTGTCTGTTCAGCCAATGTTCTGAATTTTGCTGCCTCTGAAGCAGAAACAACCTGTCTGACAGAGAGAAAGGAGGAAAACTAAGGTATATGAGTGCTGTTCAGGGATCAAAAAAGCATAGGCTAAAACTTAAATATCCTAGAGAAATACTCTCAAATTCAGAAGTAACCTCAAGTTTGTCAGCTTTCCTGAATGCTTAGATTCCAGTTGTTTAAATTCTGGATTCTGGACTGAGGCTTTGTAAAGCTGTTGTCCATCTGATATTGCAGAGGAGTGCTGTAGGAGCAAATCTACTGCATCACTTCATTTCCTTGAGTGAAAGAAGACAAACTTCATTAGTGGTGAAAGATTTAATGGGACTTGGGGGATCATTGGTGAAGAATGGGTCATAGGATGCTGGATTTCTGTGAGGATGATGGTGGGGAGTACTTAAGATTTTCATATTGGAAGTCTATCAGGAACTGAAAATACATTAATACTTTTCTCAGCTAAAATACTAGGAAATCTGGGAGAGGAGCACAATTGAGTGAATTCTACAGAAAGATGCTCCCTTGTTAAAAGGAAAAAAAAAAAGTTAAAAATAGAGAAAGGAAAAACAGTCAAGAATATAGGTGGGTGCTACTTTGGCAAGAAGTAGGAAGAGTAAATAGAAGAAGATTCATACTGAATTTTTTTTCCAAGACATTCATAGCTCATATTAAGCATTGCCAATTCAATCAGGAAGAACGGCGCATCATCTTCACAGATAGTTCCATATTAAAATCTATTAATACAAAATATACATAAAATAGATTCATTATATAGCTGATGTATTCAAGGGTGACCATTTTTTAATGTGAGATGGTTTTTTTTGTTGTTGACCAAAACATTAGACTCAAGGCAAGTTTATAAAAGCTCAGTTAAAAATAACGTTACTGTGCACAGCCATTGTTGGTAACTCGTGAAACAGTTGGTAGAGTACACAGTTAATACTGTGTTTTTGATTTGGATTTTTTTTTTAAGACCTGCTTGCCTTTAAAATAAAGTACTAGGTAGCTTGGTTTCAGAAAGCACTGAGCTTTCTTCCACTTTTTAACTCTTCCTGTTTGTTTTGAAATCTGGTTTTAATTGCCAAAGTAAAAAGCTGTCTTAATTTTAGGAGTAGAAATGGAATCTACTTGATATTGTCTAGTACCAGAGCTCTGTCACCTCACACAGCATGTCAGTGAGATAGCAAGGAATGCAGAGAAATCTCATGTAATTATGAAAGTCTGCAAATGTATGAGCTTCTTGATTAAGCCAGCTCAATCTTTATTACTATGCTAGAAATTTGTATTTAACTGTAAATTTGATGACTTTTGCTGAACAGAAAATTCATCATAATATTTTTTTCTCATTGAAATTGTAAAATACAGTTTTATTTTTCTTTTCTTTCTCTGCCTGTCACTTCTTTTTTTTACTTCTGTGTGTAGACTGACAGAAATGTGACAGTTGTCCTACTCAGTGAAATAGTGTGGGAACTGTTCCGTCCAAATACTGGATGCTTTGAGCCATTCACCTTGTATTTTCCTGATTACAGCATAGGTAAGCTAATTCTTTAATCTGCTTTTTGGGGATTTAATATTACTGCGTCTGACAGTATCCAGATTGTTTTTTTATGCTTATCAGTATGCCTTTTACAGAATTTGGAATACGTGATAGCTACTGGAATGTAGAAGTCTGTATTCACACAGCCTCTAAAAAACTTGTCTTTTTCCACTCACCAAAACATCTCAAAGTAACATTTTGGTTCCATTCTTTTAATCAGTGTAGTTTTTGGTGGAGTTTGAGTTTTTAAAATTATGAGTCTACTTGGATTTTCCACTTAGCTTGTAAAATGTAGTCAGTTTATTAAGTTAGTTTTATGTAAGCAAAACTTGTTCTTGTTTAAACAGGACACCTGCAGAAGATCTTGTCTCAGAATCATCCCCCAGAATATTCTGCGGATTTCTATGCAGCATTTATCAATATTCTGCTTGGTGTCTTCTACATGGTTTGTAGGGACCTGAAAGAGCTTCAGCATCTGGTGAGATGAGCCCCTTTAGAGTTGTTGTTTTGTTTTGGGGTGTTTTTTTGCCAAATGATCTCTGAATGTCTAGATTTATTGTTGAATATGGACAAAGAAAATCATATAATAGTTTGATTTGGAAAGGACCTTTAAAGGTCATCTAATCCAACCTGCCTGCAATGGGCAGGGTGATCTTCAACTAGGTCAGGGTGCTCAGAGCCCTGTCCAGCCTGACCTTCAATGTTTCCAGGGATAAGGCATCTACCACCCCTCTCGGCAACCTTTTCCAGTGTTTCACCCCTCTTGTCATAAAAATTTCTTCCTTATATCTAGTCTAAATCTACCATCTTAAGAATGCGTTAACCTTAAATGTTGTTTCCCTAAAAATCCATAACAAAGGTTGCACTTGTTTTGGTGGCTGTAAGGGGTTTTAATTGCTATGTAGTTTTCCAGTCAAGAGACACCAAAAGCTGCGCTAGTAAGATGCCAGTATTTGTGTGGTTTACCTAGCCTACAACTTCTGTTGGGGTTTTTGAGCTTAAGCCGTTCCTCGATAATCAGAAAGTGACTGAGAAGACCAGGCTACCTATTTTCACCTGTTAGGATAAGGGAATAAATGTGATAAACCTTTTATGCCTACTGCTAATTAGAGTAGAAGCAATTGCTGCAACTGCAGCAGTTTTTGAGGGACAGCTCTGTTACAGACATGGTTAATGATATTTTTTTTGTTTGCAATTCAGTCAGAGGAAGTAAGAGGTGGTTTTACTCTTTCAAGCCATGGTAGGCCTCATGGTGCTTCTTTCACATTCTTTTTACATGTGGTTATATGACTTTGCTGTTATGCTACCTTCTTGCTTCTGTAATCCCTAACTAGCCATCTGTTGTATTTGTTTCCTGGACTATGCAGTGGATTGCCAGACAGTTGATTTCAACATTTGAAGGAATAACTTCTATTACATGGTCTCAACATGTCCAGTCTCCGGTTCTGTTTTATCCTGTGTTTATTAAATATAACAAACAAACTAACAGAATTAAAATAAAAATTACTTAACAGTGACTTTTGCATAAGAAAAGCTGAAAAGCAGTAACTATATTGATTTAACCGTTTTAGAAGAAAAAAAAAAATCTAGATTACAGCCTTGTCAAAAATCTCTCAATCTTACTTTAGGCAGAAGGAGTTCGTTTAAATATGGAATGTGCTAGCAGGTTTGGTGGTTTTGTTCGGTTGTTTCTTGGGCTTCTTTTTTTTTGTTAAATAATTTCTGCTTTTTTGTGTGTGTAAGCGTGTGTGGCCTACTTTTCAACATGCTGAACTGCTCCTGGAATGGAAAGTTTTACATTAAAATGAAGGCAGTAAAAAACAGTTGATGAAAATATTTTTATTGCATTTATAATGTTTAATTTTAAAAAGTGCAACTCTTGAGTGCAGTAAAGAGATTTTGCTTCTGTTTGTATTTTAATCTACAGAAGTATTGTGACATTTTACAGTGTAGCGTTGAAGTAAGCGGCGTAATTATTGACTGAAAAATAATCAATTGGTTTTGCAAAGTAATGAATCACGCTGCTTGTTACCTGTATCTATGTTAGTCTGTAGCTAGATCATAGTACCTTTTTCATATGTAGTACCTTTTCCTTTCTGTAGGCAGCACTCAATTTTTCTAAATACTGTGAACCGGTGATCAGAGGAGAAGGTAAGCTTCTGTCTTTAATTTGAGCAGGTGTATGAAAGTGCAGGAGCCCTCCTGGGGTTTTGTGGAGGACTTTGCCTTGATTCTTGTTGTGTTGTGACCATTTTTCTGGTCACAATGGCATTGCTTACTGCTGTTGCACCCAGCAGGCGGCATTTGCAGCAGAAGCAGTAGGTGACATTTGTTGGTGATGTTTTGTGGAAATGAGATGGAAATACCATGAAAACTTGCTTACCCCTATAAATCTTTTCACTCAACCACCAGGACTTCTGCAAAGTATTAAGATAAGTCGAATTCCTCTCTCAAGGCTAAGAGGCTAATGAGAACAGAGGTTCTGCCAAACTGTCCCAGAGTATCTTGGAATAAACCCAGAGAAAACAGCTTTGCGTGGTAGCATATGCTTGCAAATAAATGTATGATGATGGTGCATTATTGTAATACAGTATTTCAGAGTCAGGGCGTTAGACTTCTGACGTGCCTGTGACTGTTGAAGTGTCAGAGAAAGAGTTTTAGTGTTGTATGAGTTAAATATTTAACAGAGTTGATTGTGGCTTGGTACAGCAAATGAACGTGACACCCGCAAACTCTGGAAGAATATTGAACCTCATTTGAAGAAGGCAATGCAGACTGTTTATCTCCGGGAAATATCCAGGTAATCTGGGGAGTGAGGGCTTGTTTGTTTTGTTGATGTTGCTGTTTTTAACAGTCTTCCTCTTTAAATATTTACTCTCTCAATTATGTTTCATGGCTAGTGTTTATTTTTTGGTAGATAGAATCTGTTTTCTCTTTGACTTGCACTTCTTCCTTGCCATATAATATTACAAATAGAATATCTCAAGAGGAATTTTTCAAACAAAATGGTATTTGTAACTCATAAATTATTAAATAAGTAATGCAGTGGCAGCAGGTTGTGGTGTTTTTCACTGATGGTCATGCAGATAGAGCCATTTTCTGTCACGTATGAAACTGCCCAGCATGGGAATCTATCACCAAAATACAGAGGCACAGTTTAAAACACACTTGTGAAGTTGACTTGGTAGATCCTTGCTGTGCCCAGGATGCGTGCAAGCCTCAAAATTCCTGTGAGATGTTACAGATTTTGAACCTCCTGAGTTCCTTTGCTTTGTTTAGTAGAGCTAGATTTGTGTACTGTCCTTTCTGACCCCTTGGTTTCTTGTCCAAGGGTAAAAATTTCCTAACATGGAATTACTGTTTCTGACAGCATTAAAACCTGGTATCCTGCTAATGGGCTGAGTTTCTTTTGGTATGATTTTAGATTCCCTGTTTATTTCTTAAGTTGCCAGACTGCCAGAAACAAGATGGTGGCATTAATTTTTAACAGTAATAATCAGCTCAGATTTAATGTCTTCTCCATCCTTAAGATGAGTGAAACTGATGTTACATCATGTGAAGAGATAATTCAGTAGTGCTTGATTTTTTTTTTATCTTGATACAAACATAATGATTTCTTTCCTCTGAATGTCACTGAGGCCATAGAGTATTCTGGTAACTGAACCTGGGTGTGCAGTAGGAGTCTTTGCTAAATGTTTTGGGAAAGGCATCATTCCTTCAAAATAAGAATTGATTTTGCTCCATATGAGCTAGACTTCACTGTGCAATGAGACATTATTCTGTTTACCTCAAATATGTATTTATACTCAATATTGTTCTTCATTACATGGTCTACTCAGGATTTTCCTGACTTTCTATATTGTGTAATTGCCTATGCTAATTAGGGTGTAATATAAGATTATGGTATAAAATAGCTTATGAAGTGTTTCCAAATAACTAGTTTTCCCTCTTTACAGTTTTCTTTGATTATAAATTTGAGTTTTACTGTTGTTTTTTATTATAAATTTTAGCTTTCTGCATTTACCTCTGTGTAATAGTAAATGCTCGAGGAATTAAAATTACCATATTGATTTTTCTCACCACAGAACTGTAATTGCCCTGGGGTTTTGTTTAAGTAGTAAGTTATGGCAATAGAACTTTGTTATCAGCTGTTGTGTGGCCTGAACTGAGATGAAAATAAAACTATTTTTTCCTACCTGTAAAATAGCCAATGGATAAAAACTTTGCTGATTGATAATTTGGTTGATTATTCATTATAATTTCAGTATTACATCAGCTTTCATTAAAGTGTTTTCATAAGTTTTATGGCTTGTGGCTGATAAACCCTATTGCACAGGATTTTAGTTGAGGGACTGTTCATAAAGAGCTTTTAAAAGAAAAAGTCACTAGTACTTTAACAAAGCTGGTTTTTTATGATGATCTAGAATCGTGACGTCTCTAACAATGTCATTCCTTAAGGGAATCTTTAAAGTAAAATTTTTTGCTATTTAGGAAAACATGAAACTACTTGCAGACATTTTTCACTGCCGGAATGTTCCATCTTGACTTCATAGTTTTTCAGTGAAGAATGAATATTGGATTTTACACAGGCTTCAAAATTACATTGTGAAGTAATTATGGTATTGTTCTCACTAGCATGAATGGCAGATAAAAGTCAAAACTATTAGTGTTTTTGACTTTCTTCCAGTTCTGCATAATTCTTGAAATTTAGAAGCACTATTGATATTTGCTTACTGGTGGTAGTTGGATGGAAAGAAATTGGTATTTTACAAGTAGTTTGTACTCACTTTTACTGTTATACCTTAATATAACATTACTTTCTGTGGTTTTTTTCAAATACACGAAGCCTGCACATTGAACTTTATGTGCAAGGTAGTAATACTGGATATTTAAACTATTCTCTTACTGTATCCTAGCCAGTGTCATGAAATAAAAGTGTACATATACCAAGCAGGTAGTTTTTTCTAAAAGACTAACAAATACTTCATTTGTATATATTTGCATTATCTGTCTTATAGCTCACAGTGGGAGCGCTTACAGCGTGACGATGGAGAACTTGGGCAGTTGAAAGGTATCGGATACAGTAGCTCTATAGGGGCTTGTGATGTGAAATGTGTACTTGTCAGGTTGACTTGGTTGCTGTTACCTGATAATGTGTGAATGAAATCATATAGACAAGGCTACCTGTTAGCATTCAGTTGCAGTTGAGGTTAATCATGTTTTCTGAGAAGGTGTTCTGCTAAGGACTTTAACTACCTTTTCCCCTAGCACATATCCTAGGAGTAGTCTTTCCAAAGGTCCTTTGTGGGTAAAAGCAGTTTTCTTTAAATTAGTAGTTCTTCTGTAAGAATGTGTGAGGAATGGGCTGACCCCTGATGGTCAAACTTCTGTGTGCCAGCTGACAGAATTGTCTGAGTAGGGACAAGGGAGTATTTCACCTGCTGCATTTTACTGGGGGTCAGCGCATTCCTGAACAAAACAGGTGTCCTACGTGCTTATTTCTTGGCAAAGAGAAGTGTCAGAATCTCAAATTCTTTCTATTTTGTCCTTGGAGGAGTACAGCTTTGTTGATTTTTTTTTTCTTTCCTTTTTTTCCTTCCCCCCATATTATCCATCACAACAAATAATTTCCTCTTTAGATGGTAGGTAAAATACCAACTTTTGAAAGCTGTCTTAAGATAATTGCAATTGTCATACTGTTTCCTGTATGTGCTTTATAATCAGTAATTTTTTGACACTGTTAACCAAAGGAGTTTGATTCAAAGTGTTCTTATTAAACTCCTTCCATGCCGACATGACCATGAAACACTTTTGCACCTGACAACCCCAAAAAAGGAGAATTGTTTAAAATGCATTTTCTAGGATTTTCAGATATATGTGGTAGGAAAAATTGTCATGTTGGTAAGAGCATTTGATAATAACATGCCTAAAAAGCACTTATAATAAATTTTACTGTGGATATAATCAAAGAGTTCAGTGCATGTTGCAATATTGGCAGATCAGCAGAATGGACTAGGAACAGATACTTGGGTATTAAAATAAATAGTCTATATGTAAGAGTTTATTTGGTGTTGCATTTTGTAATTAACATGCAATACGGAACAGTCTCTTGATTGTAAATGAAAGCTAAAACTGCTGTCCTTTTGTGCCTGTGTGAGAGGAAGTTATTACTAGGATGCTTACCATCACACTGGAGGCTCTGAATCTTAACTTTTAAATGTGTTTAACTCCTTGATCTTTGTTTGCTGGTATTTGTGGATTAAAGCATTAACAGACGCTCCACAGAAAAAGGAACTGTTGAAGTGAAAACTTGTAAGCAAAGAAGGCACAAGAGGAGACTCTTTAGTGGTCTGCATAACTAGACAGCTGATGAAGTCAGATGGTTTGATCATCCTATTCATATGCATAAGCTGTGTAAAAGCAGCAACTACAGTGACAAGAGTGGGGGAATGTAAAGGGGAAAAAATATGAAGTAAAATTAAAAAGAGGGCAGGAAAATACTCAGTAGACTGTAGTTCTTATGTGTTTGTAATTGTGAGACTTTAATCTTAATGAAGTATACATGTAGCAGGCTGGGTCAACTGGATCAAGTTTAAAATTTTGAAAACATTTTCTGTAGAAAATAAGAAGAGTAGCTAAAAACTGAGATGCTGAACTGTTTCTGAAGTGTGGCACTGCTTCTTTCTCCACCATGCCAACCTCATTCCTGTCTAGCACAGCCTGAAGGTTGGGTCTCAGAGAAGAGCTTTGCCATTGTATTTAAATAAATGTCTTCATCTGCCCTGTTTGTCAGAAAAATTACCTTAAATGAAAGTAGCCTGATTTTTTTTTTTCTTTTTAAAGGGGGATCACACCTTAGTGATTTGTGAATCTGTGATGCTTCAAATAGAGTTTCTGAAATGAGTCCATAAAGAATTCAGAATGTTAGTTTTGTTTAGCTTTGTGCCATTCCTTGCCCCTTTGCTGATTTTGTACCTGTGGTAATGCCGTTGAGAAAGTAGCCGTAATAATTTTGCTTCAGAAGTAGAGCAGGAGGGAAGGAAAAGAATGCAAATAAGTCTAATTTTAATTTTGTGGCTATTTAGAGTGAGTTTTGGTGACTGATAAACTGTTTATCTTACAGGACTTTCTGCACACACGCACGTGGAACTTCCTTATTACTCCAAATTTCTTCTAATAGCTGCTTACCTTGCCTCCTACAATCCTGTCAGGACAGATAAGAGGTTCTTTCTTAAGGTAATGAGATTTTTTTTTTTCCTTGATGCTGCTTATTGGGTATCTGCATGCTGAATTTCCTAGTTTAAAACTCTTCAGCAGTTCAGTTTGAGATCTGTTTCTGTTTGTGGTTCATTTGATTTCATCAGAAGTTTTCCTGTAGGTCACATATTGTGATTGGTAATGATCACTTCGTTATTCTCAATGTCTAATAAACCCTGCTTCCTCTTCATGTCAAAACATGTGTAACCCTTATAGCACAAGTATTGCAGTTTGCTTTTTTAAGTTGATTTATCTCCGTTTTGTACAGATTGTAGTGGAGTGCCTGCAGTGTCCTTGGGTATAAGTCACACTTAAATTTCCAGACAAAGATACAAACTGCAACTGAGTTAGCCTTTAATGAGATGAAATGACATAGTGCATCATTAACTTACACCATTTTAAGCATCTGAAGCAGAAACATACCAACAGTTGCTTTTGCAGAAGATGTGGTTCCATTAGCTGGCAAATGTTCTGTTAAAATGATGGTAATGCGTGTTTTGGGATGAATGTAATAATCCTCACTACCAAATCATGGGCTAAACCTTATTTTCTGTAAGTTCTTGTCATGAACAGATTGATTTTTTTTTTTTTTAATTTTCTTTTTTCCTTTGGGCTATGTTGTCATCATGCTGCTAATAAATGCTGTGGTGCCATAGTCTGTAGTCTGTCTGTCTCTTACCCAGGATCTTCATGATGCAGGGAGAAAATCAGAAAGGCCAAA